AAGGTTTTGTTCACCCTCTCATAAAAAGAAATCAGATTTGTTTGACAACTTCTGTCTTTCATGAATCCGTGCTGTCTGTTGCTTAAAATATTTTTTTTTCCAGCAAGAACTCATCTATGTGGTCTTTTATTAAACTCTCCAGTATCTTCCCAACTATAGAAGTTAAACTAACAGGTCTATAATTACTTGGTAAAGATTTTGACCCCTTTTTAAAATATTGGCACTACATTGGCCTTACGCCAATCCAGTGGTACTATGCCAGTCATTAAAGAGTCCCTAACAATTAGAAGCAATGGCTTTGAAATGACAGAGCTCAATTCTTTAAGGACTCGTGAGTATATGCCATCCAGTCAAGGTACTTTATTCACCTTTATTCTGTCTAAATATTTTTGGATCATATCAATTGTCAGCCAATGTGGATCATCTGGATCATCTGGAGCTGTGTCAATACCATCCCATTATGGACAAGAGCTCCCCCATGCTCCTTTGTATACACAGAGCTGAAGAAGGAATTTAATGAATTTGCCTTCTTTGTCCCCAGTCACCCACTCTAGATTATTTTGTAAAGGGCCTACATGCTCAGAGCGGACCTTTTTACTATTAATATATTTGAAGAATTTTTGGGGATTGGTCCTCCTATCTTTTGTAATCTGTCGTTTGTTTACAATTTTTGCGTCCTTTATTTCCTTTTTGCATATTCTGTTATATTCTTTGTAATATTTAAACAATGATAGTGTTCCTTCATTTTTATATTTAATAAAAGCTCTTTTCTTATGATCTATAGCTTTTTTAACTTTGGCCGTAAGCCACATAGGTTTGATTTTTAGCCTTTTAAACTTGTTGCCCATGGGAATATATTTTTCAGTGTGTTCACATACAGTCTTTTTGAAGAACTCCCATTTCTGTGCTGTGTTCATTGATGCCAATATTCCATCCCAGTCTAAGTCTTGGAGAGCAGCTCTCAGCCTTGGAAAATTAGCTTTCTTAAAATTGAGCATTTTTATTTTTCCCGTATGTGCTTGCCGTTTACAGCTAACAATAAGTGAAATCATGTTATGGTTACTACTACCCAGACGTTCTTTTATATGGACATTCGTAATAACTCTGCATGGTTTGAGATTACCAGGTCCAGCAGAGCATCATTCCTAGTTGGGGCCTCTATGAATTGTACCATAAAATTGTCCTGTAGTAGGTTTAAAAATGTTTACCCTTTAACTGTTCCTGCAGTACCATTACTTCAGTCAGTTTGTGGGTAGTTAAAATCCCCCATTATTATCACTGTCCCAGCCCTTGCAGCTCTTTTGATCTGTGCAAGGAGCTGAGTGTCCACCTCCTCATTAACATTGGGAGGCCTATAACAAACTCCAATGATTACCTTTGTAGTACGCACCTCCATGTGCAGTTCCAACTATAATGCTTCAGCTCGCTCTGAGATCACTTCTCACATACATACACACACCACCACCTTTCCTATTTACCCTGTTTCTCAGAAAGAGAACATAGCTAGGAATATTAATGGCCTAGTCATGTGAAGAATTCAAGATTCATCAATACCAATTAAATCATAGCTCTGTTCATGCACCAAAGCTTCCGACTCACCTATTTTGCTTGGCAGACTTTTGGCATTGGTGAACAAACACTTTAATTCATTGACACCTTGTGCACATGTATTTTGCATATTTTTTATTTTCATACAAATGATACCAATTCCACTGGTTATTTGGAACATGGGAACCTTTTTATCATCTGCCATAGCCCTCCCCATCTTCCCCATTCCACCTCCCAATAAATACTGACCCCTGTCCAGGGGCGGACTGACCATTTGGAAACTCGGGCACTGTCCGAGGGCCCGGGGTCAGTAGGAGGCCCAATGAGATGCCCCTGGTACCTTTTTCATAGGCTTTTTTGAGTTTGGGCAAGGACACAGGGGCCCCACAATCCCCTATTGCCCGGGGGCCCCATGAGTTGTCAGTCCGCCCCTGTCCCTGCCTGATCTGACTACCCCATTATAATCTAACGCATGGTAGTCTCATATAGAAAATGAAGACGTTACTAAAGTTACAAAAATTCTTGCATGACAAAATACAACTTCAGAAGTGATATAATGTATTTTATTGTATTGTAATGTATTCCTTGGTTTCTGAGCATGCGTGGTGTTTGTCTTCCATTTTTTTTTTAGACGAATACTGTACTGATTGAACAGAAATATTGCATTCTGGTATCGAATGATAATGAATAATTTGAATAATGTTGAATGAACTGACGTGATTGGCTCTCGAAAGCTGTGTACTAATGATCAGATTACTGAACGATCGCTGCAAACATGGTATTTTCCATCCGATTCTCTCATCGCGTGTACGGGGCATACAGACAGGCTCTGACCATTCCTTTGTTTAAAGACAGAGGAACAGTACAAAAAACCTCAATTCACAATGAAGCAAATCATTCACATTTAGATTCATAATCTTTTGCCAGTGGTGTATGCTTGCTGGAGATGTAGATGTTTTCTGAGGCCTAGAACAATGGTGTCATTGTATCATATTTATACTACCAACATCTCTTATAATCACAGTGAACCTCCGTATCTGTGGGGACACTTTTGGGGTAATATGCACAATCTGATTAATTTCTTGATGCAGAACCTGCAGTACTGTAGTGGCCATAGATAGGGCAATATTTATTTCAATAACTGCAAATTAAAAGCAATAGTTTTTTTTCCTGGTGAATCAGTGTAGAAAAGTTGAAACTATAAACAATTGCCAACCATTTACTGATTAGGCCTTTTTTAAAATCTATCAAATTAAGTGATTGATGATTAGAATGTTTATTCAGATACCATGGTAGGATGTGCACACCAAAGCTCAAACACACATGCATTCATGCGCTGTACACTGTATATATACAATCTTCCATGCGGTACTGTGCCGTGCTGGCGCATTATCTCCCTCTCTGCAGATGCAGAATGAGAGAGAAATGCTTCGACAATTCTCTTAAAAGAGCAGAGCCACTCAGTGAGAGATCTTTCTCATCTCCCCACTGGTACACAGACTGATAATGCTAATGCGAGCGGGGTGATTAGGGTGTACCCAGGTACATCCGGCACACCCTGTGTGCGCGCTTATGGATACTACTAACCTTGCTGAATTTACACTGAATCATATGAAGAATCAAATCCTTATGGCCACATTTAGGTCTTGTATCAGTTTGAAACCCAGTACCTCTTCTGTGTATTTATTATCTGGTCTTTAGCTTTTAGCCTATTGAAACAAGAACTCTGTAGGAGCTTCTCTCTATATATTTGTTATGTTTACTATGGATGTCTGGTCTCATCTAACCAGTATAGATATTATCTAAACTGTGCACTGACATCATCAGTGCATTGTGTATGTTAGCATTTTCTTTCCATCCAGTCCTTAACCCCTTTACGAGCGGCCGCACATTTGCGTTCATGTAACAAAAAACATATGTGCTGAGAGCGCGCACCCTGCGCGCTCCCAGCACACATGTCCGGTACTCATGGAAAGGTCCCGGTCTGCTCTTTCGATCGGGACCTTTCCCGACCATGTGACCGCCCTGACGACACGTCACGACGGTCACATGATCCCTAAACCACGCCCCACCCACCCCGCCTCCCGGCGTCTAAAACTCTTAAAGGGCCGGGAGGAGCCGGCGGGAAGGGGTTAATCAACCAATTTTAAAGTGGCTGTAACAAAATCAAACATTTACAACATTTAGGCCCTTTGCACATGGGCTACATAGTTTACTGAGGTTTACTCAGGAACATGTGATGCCCATGTGCAAGGGGCCAAAAACTGTGTGGAAAGACCTGAGTAATGTTGAGTATAGGTGAGTAAAGGTGTATAAGCGTATAGACCAGTATAGATGAGTAACATTTTTCATTGCCAGTATTGTAATATTTTCATTTATACTTATGACGCCCATGTGCAAGGGGCCAAAAAGAGTAAACATGCAAGTAAATGAATGCACTCAAATGAAACATTTTCTATTTTTGTTACTGCTCTGTACTTATTGCTTTATTACTGATCTTTACTCAGCTGCGTGCAATGTCCCATAGACAACAATGCATTTCATTTCAGATCAGTGAGAAACTCAGCAATGTTTACTCCCATTACTATCATTTTAAAAAGTGAGGTTATGTGGGGTTGCAGTGATGAGTGCTTTTGATCATGGAATCATAACCAATTTTATAAGGTACAAAATATACTGCACACAAACTGTTTTTCTCTATTAATGAATTCACTATATTTATGTAGACCCTTTACAAAATTTCAGTAAGTAAACCTAGGTTATTATTGACAGTCTGGATCAGCAATGTCACCAGGCTTAGAGCTAAAAGTGATACTCCATCTCACTGATAACAATATTGAGCCAAGAAAAAAAGTATCACTTGAAAGTTTAGAAATTAGGGAAACATTGGCATACACTATTGCCTCTAAGATGACTACAATGTCATAGGGACTATGAAGCAAGGACCATAGTGAGCAATAGTCAAAACATAAGCTATTTCTCTTAGGGTCTTCATTGGTGAGATTGCCCTGCTTGAATTTAGTGTGCCTGTTCACTTGATGTGGCTATTATGATGTTTTCAATTCTACCTGTTGGAGTAATCTACAGTATTACTTAACCACTAGCCTACAGGGCACTTATACCCCTTCCTGCCCAGGCCAATTTCCAGCTTTCAGCGCTGTCACATTTTGAATGACAATTGTGCGGTCATGCAACACTGTACCCATATGAAATGTTTATCATTTTTTTGAGACAGATAAAGCTTTCTTTTGGTGGTAATTAATCACCTCTGGGATTTTTATTTTTTCTTAAACAAACGAAAAACCACTGAAAATTTTGAAAAAAAAACATTTTTTCTTAGTTTTTGTTATACAATTTTATAAATAAGTGATTTTTCTCCTTCACTGATGTGTGCTAATGAGGCTGCAGTTATGGGCACTGATAGGCTGCACTGATGGACACTGAAAGGTGGCACTGATGGGCACTGTTAGGCAGCACTGACTGGCACTGTTAGGCGGCACTGACTGGCACTGATAGGCGACACTGATAGGTGGCACTGATTGGCAACACTGATAGGTGGCACTGATTGGCATTGATAGGTGGCACTGACTGGCATTGATGGGTGGCATTGAAAGGCAGCTCAGATGGGCACTGATATGTGGCATTAATGTGCACTGGTATGCACTGATATGTGGCATTGATTTGGCACTGATGGGCACTGGCAGGTGGCACTGATGAGCACTGACTGCTGGCACTGATGGACACTGACAGGTGGCACTTCTGGGGCCACACTGATCGTCAGGACACACTGATCATCAGTGCCCTGATGATCAGTGTACATGTCCCCTCCGCGGAAAGCCGATTACCGGCTCTCCTCTCCTCTCGAGCTGTCAGCGTGACAGCTCGAGAGGAGAGAAATGCCAATAACCGGCATTTCCGTGTTTACATGTGATCAGCTGTGATTGGACACAGCTGATCACATGACTGAGCCGACATCTTTGGCTCTTTCCGTGATCTGCTGTGTCCGAGGGACACAGCGCACAGGCGATCGCTGCGCGCTCCCTGAGCCGCGCATGCGCGGTGAGAATGGAAGGACGTCAAATGACATCCTATCAGAACGAGAGAACCACCTTGCGCTCGTCATTGTACTATATGGCGGGCGGAAGGTGGTTAATATTATGTTCTTAATATTATGAAAATGGAACAGCAGATGCTGGAACATGCAATAACATCCAAAAATCCAGACAGACTAGAACAGACATGGAAATAAAACAGGCAGATTTTTACTGTTGGGGCATTCAGAACAAGCAAGGTCTGGTTCAGCTTATCAGGCCCCGAGTGTAGAATCACTTTTGGGATGAATGATATTTTTTTTTCCTGCTCCTGCTTAATTTAAAATTCATTTATTTTTTCTCTCAAAACAAATTTCCAAATATGAAATTGATAATGAATCTTCTGTTTTTTTTTCCTTGTCCAGCACATTTATCCTAAAATATTTACTACAGAAACAAAATACAATTGTACTTCAGTAATTTATTATACATAGAATTAAATAGTTGGCTGATTCTTTAGAGTTGATGTGCATGAGAGTCACTTGTATAAAAACAGAGTATCAATTGTCAGTCATGCATTGCGAGTTCATACAACCTAGAGATCAAAGATAGGCATCATTGTCATATCCCATCATTGCAGTCACTGTTGGGATCTCTACAGTGTTCTTTTCTGTGGTGGTGCCAGGCATATGTTTGTATCGCTCTCCACGATGCTGTGTTAATGCTGGTCCCCAGTTGTCTGCGGCTCTGCAAGTCTCCAGAAGCAATTAAAATATAGAAGATAAGTTGTATTCAAGTTATTAGCTGATGAATTATTAACTTTTACCAACACTTCTGTAAACTGGATTGCTATTGCACAACCGCAAGCAGCTAACACAAAATGGCTCAAAGTGATGCTATAATTTAGATGTAAATGCACTGTAAAGGAGTAAAGTAGAGAAGCAAAATTATATTTGGCTCAATGGTATACGTTTTAGAGTATACTGTATTTGTCCATTGGTCTGGCAATACTAGAATCTCAGTTGTTTGAGAGTAAGGTTGCATAGCTATTACTGTTTATCACATCATAGCATCTATAACTTTCGAGGAACTACATCTTCAGTTCCTTAGACCTATTAACTCCTAAACGTTATAGTGAGGTTGACTACATTGAGTCACTACAGCAATATTGCAAGGCAAAGTGATGTGATTCTAATAGTGCAGCATGCTGGCAAGAGGAGAACACAAAATGAAAGCCTCATTGTGATGGAGCTCTTTCATGGTTCAGTCAGGATCCTGCCACCAGGTCAACAATTATCTGTATTACTTAACTGCAAGGAGGAAAATGTTGGCAATACCCTTAGTGTTTTGTCTGGTGCTGGTGTGTGAATCACTTGACTGGCTGAACAAATATTTTGGCAGGTAAAAAGACACAAAGGTATACTCAAACTCTGTATTTAATAGCTTGCCTGCAGTTTGGTTTTACACATCTAGCCAGAAAATGGAAAACCTGTTCATATGATCCAACAAGAGCTGACTAGTAGTTTTCAGTAAAGATTGAACATGAATTCAACTTGAACCCAGCCTATTCACAGTTTGGCTTAAGGGTAAACTAACCAGCTGACCCATTCGTCTGATATTTGTAAACAAATGGCATAATGAAACAAGGACAGTAAGCAATAGTGAACAGATGATACACTGCTATTATGTTATATATTAATTTATTGTTATACTCAATCACTTACTTGTAAGAGGTTTCCTCTTGCTTGGATAATTTTAACTAAAGCTATAATAGGAATCCATATTAGACAAAAACAGATCATACACCAGCCCACAGATGTTCCCCAAGCAGGATATTTGATGGAGCCATATGAGGGAGCTTCAAAAGTAATGAGTGACCACAAAAGTATGGCCTGCAAAAACAGACAGGAAAAAATACAATACAAATGATTGGAATGTGAGAGATAGAGAGATATACAATGAATTGCAAGACTACCAATTTAACTACCTAGGCCTGGAGACAAATATGTGTCATTAAGTAAAAGAAAGCATAAACAAGCCATAAATGTAAAGAAAGTAAATAAATACTCACCTTTCCCTCTGGCCAAGCTGCCAAATGCCTTTTTGATTGGTAGAACTACTCCCTCAAAGTCCGCTGGGAAACTGACACTTCCAGGTGTGTCAATCTTCCTGCTGACCTCCACATCACTATTGTCTCCTGCAATGCAAAGAGGTCAACAGGAGGAACAAGTGAGGGTTACAGGGAACCCAGGAGATTGACTCTTCCAGATGTGTTGGATTCACAGTGGACCTTTTAGAGACCATTGATATCAATGAATGTGGCGTTCAGAGGCATTGGCTGTGGGAAAGGTAAGCATTTATGTTACAATGGTATGCTTTTTTTTACTAATTTGTTTGCTAACTGACAGGGTTGTTTAAAGTGTATGCATGTCCTAAATATTGGTATATAAGGGGCATGTCAGAGTTACCGATTTTGAATAGAGGTCAAAATGTACATATTCTCTGTGGAGAGGAATAACAGCTGCAGCTCCTCTGGATGTTAGAAGTGGTCTTGCAGCTTTCTGTACAGCTACAGCACGAAGGAAAGAGCTTGGAGGGGGATACTTACTGTTAAATATTAAGAAAATGTTTTGTATAAACTGTAATAAGATTTTTTTTACACAAGCCCCAATTATTTATTTTACTTACCATTAATAATAATGGTGATACAAAGAACCAGCATATTCTCCACCACAACCAAAAACTCCAATGCTTCTTCCCAATCATCATTTCAGTGTCCTCAATGAATCGATTGCCACCTACGAGTATATATATTTTGAAGATTGGAAAGCTGGCACTGATCTTATTTTACCACATTTGATCAACTGTTTCTAATTTCCAGAAGATGTCTATTTTGTGCAATTTATCAACAACAGGCCAGGGGTGCTGTCACACTGGTCATCCCTATCCAAAACTATCCTTTATTCAGAGCTCTGTAAGACTAAGAAACATAATTGGCACCACTGGTTCTAGAAGCCCATGCTATTCACACTGAAGACAATCTGGAGATTTGCTGATATGTCATGGCAGGTAAACCTCTACTCTCACGACTCCTCCTATGAATCACAAATTTCTCTAACATTTTAAGTGTGTGTGTAATATTTATGTGTGTTGCAATAATGGCTAGGAATTAAAGGTGAGTGAATTGAATTGCCATCAGTGAGTCCAATAGTATCAAAGGACTACTTATCAGTTTGCTACCAACATTCGACCTACAGTCACCCAAAGTAATCCAAAGGAAATTTTGCTTCTAAGATCATAGTGTGTTATGTTAAGTCACTTCATAAAGAAGAATTATATATCAATATTAGATTATATTCTCAAAATATTTTAAGAAAGAATAATACTTCCTCATTAGGGTAGTGATAGCACTTGCCTGCAGTAACACTGTATCAAAGAGGAGAATACAAAATATGTGTTACTTACTTGCATTCCGAGTTTAATGTGTCAAACAGAAGTGGATCACATTATACAGATAATTACTTTCTTTTTAGTGGCAGAGCAGGCCACATGGAAAAGCGCATCAATTTGTATTAGAGAGTTACCATTACTAACATATAGGATACTAAACTAAGAAGATGAATGTCAGAACAAACACAAAACCAAAAAAAGATAGCATAAACCAAGTGTGCCTAACCTGTTTTAAAGAAGAGAACACAAAACCTTTGTTGCTAACTTGCATTCTGAGTTTAATGTGAGCTCGTTGGCATTAGTCTCCAGAAGTCACACTAAAATTCATAAGAGCTCCCTCAATCTGCAGCCTGGAAATAGCATTACTGGGAATTTATTAATTTACTTTTTACATACAATTATATATGTATAATTGTATGTGAAGGATCAGAAGATTAGGAAAGCAAATATAGTGTACCTTATGTTTTAAATTTGGTGAAAAACAATTATTTAATGTTATCTCAGACTGTTTTAAAGAGTACTAGATAACATCTGTCTCAAATCAGAGCTGGAATAAAGTGTCCCATTTCTGCAAATAATATCACTGTATAGTATATACAGTTTTGAATTTAATATTTCAATGCTGAAAAATCCTAATCTACACCTTATTCAACATTTCACACAGACAGTTATAGGGTAATATAGACAGTCAGGTTTCACTTCCGCAGTCATTATTCACTGACAGCTATTGTGAATTTAATTAATCTATTTGTATGTTAAATATAATATTGAAAAATTAACAACTGTTTGCAGGAAACTGAAAAAAGTCCACTGTTGTTAAAAACAATAATTAACTAAAATAAATTAATGTTATTAAATTATTGAAATAATCTTTCTGTGTTAAACTGCAACTATTGCAATTTTCTAAAATTGTCAAATGTTGATTCTTTTTAACACAAAGCCATTTTGTATAGCATTGGTGTATGGGATGCCTCTAGCTATGTAAACTCCTGCTTATGTGATTGGATCATTGCTTTCCTCAAAAGTCTGTAGTATGATTAAATTAAAATTTTAGGAACCCCTGCAATAGGAGTTTTTTGCTATTGTATGTGAGATGCTCCCTAAGGTGGTCTTACTTATAAAGGGATGCAGACACTGCAAATTTACTATTACTTTGAAAACTGAGATTTGCTCAGGTGGATATAATGAATGTTGGTAATAATTGCAACAAATTTTTCTAAAATCTTGCAATCCAGAAAGTATTCACAACACTTAACTTTTGCCACATTTTGTTATGTTGCAGCCTTCTTCCAAAATTGATTAATTTAATTTTTTTCCTCAACATTCTACAAACAATACCCCATAATGACAATGTGAAAGAAGTTCATTTTGAAATCTTTGCAATTTATTAAAACTAACAAACAAACAAAACCACATGTACATAAGTATTCACAGCCTTTGCCATGACACTCAAAATTGGGCTCTGATGCATCCTGTTCCCACTGATCATCCTTGAGATGTTTCCACAACGTAATTGGAGTCCACCTGTGGGAAAGTCAGTTGATTGGACATGATTAGGAA